TACTTATTTTTCTCTCAGTTTAAACATTTAAATGGAGAACTTGTTACTGTTTATTAAAAGAATTGCGTTTTGAAAGTCAGCATGAAGATAACTGAATTGCAAGCATATGAAGAAATTACCTTGCCTTGGTTCTTAGATGGTGAAGCACAATTCTTATAACAAACTGTGATGAATTCTTTATTCTTTGCCACACTTTTTCTTCATACAAACAAACCAAAAATCCATAATGGGCAATTGCAGTGTTGGTAAATGTATCCTTTTTATGTACAGGGAATCTGAAGAGGATAGCTGATTCATTTAGAAGTGTAACTGGTGCTGTGATTATAGCAATACTTTTACTTTTGTTAGTCATACATCATCTTCTCATGCTAGATTTTTAAATGTTTAGTTTTCCTCTTGTCATGGTCAAACTGCTGAATTTACTTGAAGGATGTACAATACTGTTTGAAGAATACTAAATTGTGTACAATTAGGTCAATGAATTGTACAATTGTTTCCTGTTTTTAATTTTTAAATCTGAGGGTCAAAAATGAATGAAAAAATCAGATCCAGTAGAACATAGTGATATTACATAACTTAACCAAAGTCTCTAGTGAATATTTTAACTTTGAATGTAAACTAATGGATGGACTGACCAACAGGGACATTATTTGCCCAGCATTACAAGCACATTGTCTACAGATAGGAAAACTAAATACAGTAATTTATAAAATAATGACCAGGTTACTATTTTTTCTTTTATTCCTATTTTTAATTGAAAAAAAAAAAAGGAAAATACTATCAACTGTAAAATAAGTACATATGGTTATAGTCGTCTTAATAAAACAGAGATTCCAGTTATTCTCAGTTCAAAGTACCCTGTGCATAACAATAAATTTAGTGACAATCGGAACATGTTTTAGTATCAGATGTTCAAGAGGAAGTCGCTATTGCATTGGTTTTAATATTTGTACATAAACACTGATTTTTTTGAGCATTATTTTGTATTTGTTGTATTTTAATATCTGGTGTACAGTTCCAGAAATAAATGTCTGGAAACCCTTCTTTACTTGTAAAGCTCTTCATGCATCTGCACCGTGTTTGTTACTTCATTTTCAGAATTATTTAGCACTAATTGGCCAGGTTTTAACATCCTGGGTAACACTGAAGTACACACTACCCCTCTACCTCATGTAATGTGAAACATGACAAATGTAACACACAGATATACATGTAAATAATAAGCAGTGGTTTCCCTCAAAAATTGTGGCTTAAGTATAGCAAAATCTTGGAGAGGGCTTTAACATGGCTTCCTAGTAACAGCACAGCAGCATAACTCAGTGTTCAAACTACATAGTAAGCTGGGAGGGGGGGTATGTCTCTGTTCATTTCTAAAAGAAAACTTGCCCAAATCCATAAAGCCACAGCATAAATCCACACATGAGGCTCAGTCACGGATGTGGACAGGAAAAAATCTCTACTCTGTTTAGTCTTAGTACTTAAATTGTACTATTTAAGATTTTTTTTTACAATTTTCCTTTTCCCTCACGAAAATGATTACTGATCTTGAACCCTGAAAAGCACTGCATTGCTTCTGAGACCTCACATACCAATTCCATCAGAGACCAGAATTTGTGCTGTGGTTTCCTAGGTCCAGGGTGCTTGTTTCTGAAATGACTGACACCGTAAAGGTTCAGGTAAAGAAAAGATGATGATGATTAAATCAGCTAGGAGCACACACTGATATAAATCTAACCAGCAAAAAGTAATTTGCCAAGTAATTTAATGAACTTACCTTCCCTTTCTCAAGAAGCTAAGATGAAGAGATATAAAAATACATCTTACAGTACTGTAGTCGATAGGGGAAGAGCAATGGACACCATCTACCTGGACTTGTGCAAAGCATTTGACGCTGCCCGCTTTCACATCCTTGTCTCTAGAGTGGAGAGATGTGAATTTGATGGATGGACCATTCCTGGGTGGGTAAGGAATTGGCTGGATAGGAGCACTCAAAGAGTTGCAGTCAACAGCTCAATGTTCAGGTGGAGATCAGTAGCAAGCGGTGTTCCTCAGGGGTCAGTTCTGGGACTGGAGCTGTTTAACATCTTTGTTGGTGACACAGACAGTGGGATCGAGTGCACCCTCAGCAAGTTTGCCCATGACACCAAACTGTGTGGTGCAGCTGACACTGGAGGGCAGGGATGCCATCCAGAGGGACCATCCAGAGAGGAGGGCGTGTGCGAACCTCATGGGGTTCAGCAAGGCCAAGTGCAAGGTCCTGCAGCTGGGCCAGGGCAATCCCAAGCACCAACACAGGCTGGGAGGAGAATGGAGGAGAGCAGCCCTGAGGAGAAGGACCTAGGGGTGTTGGTTGATGAGAAGCTCAACATGAGCTGGCAATGTGTGCTTGCAGCCTTGAAAGCCAACCGTGTCCTGGGCTGCATCAAAAGCAGCATGGCCAGCTGGTTGGAGGGAGGTGATTCTGCCCCTCTGCTCTGCTGTTGTGTGTGTCCTGTGAGGAGAGGCTGAGGACACTTGTGTTGTCCAGCCTGGAGAAGAGAAGGCTCAGAGGTGGCCTCGCTGCTCTCTGCAACGTCCTAAGGAGAGGGAGTGCAGAGGGAGGTGCTGGTCTCTGCTCCCTGGGAACTGATGACAGGACATGAGGGAACAGCACAGGGCTGCACCAGGGGAGGTTCAGACTGGACATGAGGAAAGCTTTCTGTACCATGAGGGTGGTCAAACACTGGAACAGGCCTCCTAGTGAGGGGGCTGACGCCCTAGGCCTGTCTGTTCAGGACGTGTTTGGACAATGCTCCCACCAACATTTAACTTTTGGTTAGCCCTGAAGTGGTCAGGCAGTTGGACCTGATGATCTTCAGAGATCCCTTCTAACTGAACTGTTCTGTTGTATTCTATTAATAAATTATTATTATTAACAAACAATAAATAGATTACATTGAGAAGTATGGGGGTGTTATCAGAGTGCACATTACATCTGAATTAGTGTCATAATGCATCCTGCTCTTTGTGTGTGACTGGTAGGACACACAGAGAACTGGAATGACTTTCACCTTCCTTTAACGATGAAATGGATCCTAAGACAAGGAACCAGTCAATTTACCTGAAGCCATTCCACAGGCTGTACCATTTCACTGAACTGTTATTTTAACCCTTCCATTTCCTCCTCTCCTGCTCCATCCCCATGTTGTGTTGCTCCTTGCTATCGAGTACCACCTGGCTGCACTTCTTCCCCCTGCTGGATTTTGGTTTTCTAGATTGGACTCTCCTGTCTCAGAGGGGGAAACATTTCCTGGTCTGTAACTCGGCGAGACTGATTGAGAGGGCTTTAAAGTAGGATCAGCGTGGGAGGAGGACACCATCAGGAACACTGAGATTCAGCTGAGGGATGGCACAGCACCATCCGAGGGTGGCAAAGCTGAGGGGAGCACCTACATCGTTCCACACAGGATTAAGGGGATGGATAGCAGAGCAGATGTTGTCCCGAGCATTTACTGCAGCACCAGTTTTGTACAATGCCTTCATTAACGTGTACCACCAGTCACCAACACAGGCTGTCAGGTTTCAGTGTCTGAGCAGGACGAAACCACTGCCACCTGTCTTGTTAGTTGACACGCAGCCTGCACCTCAGCACTGCACTGCTCCACTACCAGATACATTCAGGCCCAGGAGACAGACACTGCAGTAAATAAATGCTTTCTTAACAAAATAGCTGCAAAATAAGTTCCACAGTTGTCAGACAGGTGTTTATTTTCAAACCTGGTCATTTAAAAATCACCAACAAATGTGTAATGAGACAGCTGAAGTAATCTGTGCCCCTGCACAAACAGCACCTCAGCATGGAGAGACGTGAACAGCACCTGCCTTTTCTGGCAGGCTCAGACTAGCGTTCCCTCCCCAACCATAAACCCTGACCCGTTCAGCCATGCAACACCGCGGGCATCCTGACAAACAGCCCCCTGTTCACAGACCAGGAGATGCCCAGTAACTTCCTCCAGAGAGCTGGGGGAAAAGGCCCAGCCCAGGAGAGGAGGGATCTTCACAGGGTTGGGGGATGAGTTGCTCTCTTCCACAGGCTGGAGAGCAGCCACTGCTCTAACCCGGTACCACGCAGGGTGACACGGTGAGGTCTGTCCCTAGGAGCTGTTCCCAGCAGCTTCATCAGCCTCGCATGACCCGTGCTGAGCCACACGCCGCCATCCTGCAGCTCTGCTCTTTGTGTCGAAACGCCCAGCCTTTTCTGACTGAGGGCTTCTAGATGAATATGGAAGGCAAGCTTCAGGCTTGGAAGGAGAACAAGTAAAACACACTGAAAAGCTATGAATTCTGAAAAAGAAAAATTCTGCAGCTAAGCAAGGCACCTTGGCTGCCCCAACCACTACCAGCTTTGACAGACATCACTTCCCAGCTCCTCGTTTCTCATGAGCTTATGCCAACCACAGATTCACTGGGAGGCTTGCTTGGACCTTTGCAGTAAGTACCAGGATGATTTCTCTTTCCAAGAAAGCTGTTTAGCCAGATCCGAAGACTGACAAGCTGTCTCCTGTTTACTTTGTGAAAGCAGTTTGCAGACAGCACCAAGAATTAACGTGGGAATGACTGGTTCTACTTATGCCAGTAACTCATCAAAAAAACACACAGCACACTCAGTTGGCAGCTACTTCCTACAGCTACTCCACAACTTGAAGTTCTCTGTTTGAGAACAGGAGCTATGTAAGCTCCTGCCACGTGCCAGGAAACTCACAGTACCACAGAAACTGGAGTTGGACAGTACCTTGATACATCAGGCTGGTTTTCCTCCCGCTTTAAAAGCCAGCAGCTGTGCTTTTTGTGACAGCGCACCCTGCAGGCACATCCTGAGTACATACTGACACTGCTCCTTCCGAAAGGCTTCATAAAAGGTAAGATGCAGTCAACTGCCTACACTGAAATACTTTCTGTAAGGAAGGAGATACCAGCAGGAGTAGAACTGACTCCAAGAAAACCAGAATAAGAACTAGTAATCACCATAAACCTGAGAAACAGGTTTATTCATTCAACAGGTTATTTATTTACACAGTTTTACAAACTGTGTTCATTGTGAGCATGAGAAACGGTGGCAAAATACTGACACCCAGTTACAGAAAAGTGTGCAAACTAGAAGATTAAATGATACGTACAGAACTTAATTTTTTTATTTTATGAGCTGTATGGACAGCTGAAAAGCAATAAGCAATAATATCCATGATAGGAGGTAGCTGAAAACCTAGTGATGTAAACAGTTAAACCTTCACCGCTGCACCACGTGTGGAGTAATCTCAGGGAAATACAAGCCCACAGCTTTCTTTCTGAAGGCTGAAGTTACAGCTCTTCATTGTGTAAAAATGCTCATGGAGCTTGAAGCACACACACAAAAAGTATTGTAATGGCACAGATTTCTTCAGTCCTGAATCTGTTAATTCAATTGATGACAGTGTAGTAATTAGAAAGAAGTTCTTCTCCTTGCTTGATGTCTCTGAGAGTGACAAGCACTACACACCTCAGGGGGCTGTAAAAAAATGAAAAGCAAAGGGTGTAAGCAAACAACTAAGATGTCAGAAAGCCTATGAAAAGAACACTGAAATAAAGAGAGAGAGCAAACAGAATCAGAACTGGTATCATTACCAAAAAAGTGCAACCCATGTGGTATGCAAATACTGTTTCCATTCACACAGTGACTCAGAAATTAAATGGACTAATCACGACAGAGGAAAAGACACTAAGACACGTTAAGAAGCTACAGCCCTTTCTGAAACAGCCCCATCTTTCCTCACTGTGCTTTCACACTTCAAGCACAGCATCCAGGTTTTCTTGAACTTCAGTCTTACCTCTTCTTTAATTAGCATTTCTTTAGTTATCTGAAGTTTACAGGTGCATCTTTAACTTTGCCTCTATAAACCCTAAGGTCAATCAGAAAAGCCACTTTTCCAACATGTACTGTAACTCTCCAACCAAGATTCAGTTTTAGAATAGCTCCAGAAACAGATTCAAAGTCTGTATGGTTTTCCTTAAAATCCTTTTGCATCCTCTAGATTAAGAGAATTATTTATTTCCTGGGGTAGCAACTGGAACAAAAGCTCAAATCCTTTGGTGTATTACATTCAGGACGTACTTCAGGACATACAACTTACTTCTTCACATTTCCAGACAGCTCCATAGAAATGCTGACACTTTCCACAAATCTCCAGTGGGAAACCTAAAGCTTTCCAAATGTTTTAAGTTCTAAAAGAGGTGGAAATTTAGGAAATTCAGCATGCTTTAATTGTGTAACCAGAAATCATGAACCTTTATGCTCCATGCCTTCAGAGCTATGCTTTTCTCATTTGCAAATATGTGGGAAAGGAACAAAATCACTCAGCCCTGAAAGCCATTTAAAATGGACCTATTCAAATTGTCCTTACAGGTACACACTTCTATGTCACTCTTCTTCACATGCAGTAATATTCTCTCCCACCACGTTTGCCCTTTTCACAAATGTAGCAAGCTTTGTGTCACACAAATCCATGAGCTCTTTGACTCACTGCTAACCTCTGTATGTCATGGCTGTAGACAATGTTTGGCAGGTACTGTTTCAGCTCTACTGGAAAACAACTTGGCACATCAAATTCCTGGTAACACACGTTGGCTGCTTTTTCTAGAAATAAGAAAAAAAAAATCTTATGATGCTGAGAAATTCTCAGATAGGGGTTACAGGTGTGTAAAAAAAGTACTGCTCCAAAAGTACCAGATGCTTCATCAAGCCTGAAAACAATGCCTCTGCTGAGAGCTACTACACTCCCCTGAAGTCCTACTGTGAATTTATACAAGAAGCTATAAACAACATAACCAGCTGTTGGAGGTTAATTTATCCTTATTACATTAAAAACGATGACCTGATTTTTAGCATTGATATGAAGGGGCACACCTTGCAGAGTACCAGGGACAGCTTACAGCATTGCTAATATCTAGGACAACAGTTACTTGTACAGTTAAAAAATAAATAAATAAATAAAAATACATTTTGGTGTCAATTTCCATGTTGGCAAAATATGTCACAAAAACAGCCAGGGAGAAAACCGCCATCTGCCCAGCAGAAAGACTGAAATTTTCTTTGCAGGGGTTCTGGACCTGGAATGAGTGGTATGATGGGACAGAACTTTGTCTACATGCCAGTCAATACGTGGTTCATTACTCTTCCTTTCTGGATGCTACTTGGAAGCAGGATAGTATCGGTGTAATGCAGGCTATGAAAGCTACTTACAGGCTAGCCATGGTAGTCATTAAACTTTCTGTATCTCACAACCATCTGTATTAGTCACTTTTTCCCCCAAACTTTAAGACCAACACATACTGTGAGGCAAAAGAAATAAATCGTTCTCATTATGTCCCACAGTTACAATACTAGCCACTTCCTGTATTTTGTGCACTTTTATTTCTTAAGTCTAAAAAATTATTATAGTCCAAAGAAACAGCGACAGAAACTTTTGGTACATGCCACTTTGCATGGTTTTCTCAAGAAGTCTGCTGGAACTGTAGTGGGAATCTCAAATCTGTACTGCCTCAGTCCAGAACTCCTGTGCCAGGTATCTTTTCCCAGTGATTTGCACTCTGGGACATGTGCCTTCTGTACCACATACCAGCAAGGAGACATCTGGGGGAGTCAGTGAGGAAAGCACAAGGATGTTCTCAGAGTTGCTGCGATGAAAGATTTTAACACTTGTTTTTTACAAAGAGCCTCAGAAACTCCTTGCTCCTTGTTTATCTTGCTTTAAACAGTTTTGCCCTTCATCCCTCATCCCCCATCAATATTTGATTCTCCTTGTCACTTGCAAAATAATTTATATCCAAACAGACAAACTCAACCTTTGAAAATTTACCTGGCAACTTACCATACGAGCAGTTGTTAACATACTGTCCCACTGCCAGTGGGTTTTGTGGAGCAGCCGTGAGCCAGCTCACATCACTCATCTGGAATGGGCCGAGCTGATCCCTCCTGCTGCAAGACCTGAAATGACCCATAGTGCTAACATGTATCACTGCTCCTTCACTTACCAAGTGGTAAGCACTTCCACCTGCAGAAATAGCCAGGACAACATTTGGAAAGGGCTGGAAGGAACAATACCTTGATGACTGCTTAAAAAGTACATTTAAAACTACTATCAGGAAGTGGTTGTCTCTGACACCCCAAGAGAACCAGCATGAAAACACCATGTACAATTCCAGAAATCTGCATCAAACTTGATGATCACAGATGAGTTTTGTTCGCCTCTAAAGATGTGAAGCCTCATTACAACATCATCATAAATCTCATTCCCAGAATTCAAGCCTTGTATTAGTTGTCCCTTATTTTAGACACTTTCTGCTTGTTAGTCATTTTATTTTCAAACACAGAAACTGCTCCACCAAAGTTCCTACAAACTGTATTTTAAGGTAAGCTCCTTATGGAGTGGAATACAGTCCACTTCATGTCAGCTCTGTGCTTACTGCTAAGGGCTACAGCTCTCTTAAGTGCTGCCCATCTGCAGACCAGAGACAGAGCTGACAGATTCTCCCTTCTGCTATTTGCAATTCCATATGGAGGCATTTTTTTCCCCATTCACAAAGCAGATTTGATTAAAGAATTCTGAAGCATGTTAAAAATATGCTGTCCTGTTCCTACTAAAACTATTTTCTTTACAAGAAACAGTCCCTGTCCACAACTTTCATCAAAATGCTTCTCACTAGTGTTACAGACACAAGGACATAGTAGATCATGTCCAGCAGCTCTTACCCTTGTGCTGTTTTACAGCATGACATACACAGAAGTGGATGATATTTCAAATAAAAATCAAATTAGGGCAAGACAAGAGAACCCTGACAATATTAGCACTAGATTCTGAGATACCAGTTGAGTGCCATTCCCCTATTTCTTATGATTGCTTACCTGTACACTGCTCTTGATAGTCCTTTATCATTCCCATCAATAAGGACACCATCTATGCACCTAAAAATAAAAGGATTGCCAAGGGACTGGAAAAAGATCGGCTCGTGCTTTCTGTACACTGTACCTGTTGCAAGACAGATATGGTTATTTCAGAAGAAAATAATTTATTTGAGGATAGGCTTACGACATCATCCAGCCTCCTCTACACAGAACCTGAAGCAACAGAACGAATAGGCAAGATCTCTTCTCTCAGCTTGCGACCTTGACTCTTGTAAACGTCTGCAAGCTTTTAGACACCTCTTTGAGAGATACAAAAAATCTATGTCAGCTGAGGTATTCCAAAGAGAAGCCATTGAAGGAAATTGTTAAAAAGAATAACCCATGTGAGAGGTAGATGAAACACTGAAACATCACAGCCAACTGGTCTGAGAGAGAAAAAGTGATCAGAAAGGAAAAAGTGATAATTGAACTTTTAGAGAGGAAAAGGTTATGTCTGCTCAGGAAAGCACATCTGAAGATACCCAGCTGCTCTGTTACTACTGTACCAGAAGTCTGAAAAACACATATACAAGCAAAAACATGAAATATCCCCCCCCCATCCATCACCCTGATCAAAGGTTTTGCTTCGTACAAGAGGGAAAATTGCCATGACACCATGCCAAGGACAAGTCATCTTAGCACAACATTCCCCAGATCTATGCCCTGCACTTCAAGCATAGACAAGTGAGAGCAGACCAGCCTGTCATTTCTCCTGACATTGCAGTTGTGCATCCCTCACAGCCACTACATCTCCAGCAACCCCCTGCAGAAAACCCCCAGTGACACCTTGCGGGGTGATAGGCAAGGACCACCTCTGGCAGGCTGCATTCACTGCCAAACAGCGGGCAGGATGGCACTGACTGACCTGGTCTCTACACTGGTCCCTTCCCCAGCCAGCAGCCCTCTGGTTTCCCTGTCACCTATGGAAAAGACATTTCAACAGTTCATCCTCATTTTGCTGGATGAGCTGCTACACGAGACCCTCAATGAGTCTTTGTGTTTAATATGTGCCTGAAATCCTAAGTGAGCTGAAACAAATCCCAGCTCTTCAACAGAGCTGCCCTGGCTTTCCCATACCTATATAATTATGAATCTTTTATAAAATGTAAGTAAATACAGTTCTAAGAAATGAGGAACAGAGAAGGGCACGTCTCCGAACATGCTTTATGGAGAGGAGCTCCGTTAGATAAGGGGTTTAGTTCCCTTCTCCAATATGCATTTTTGTGCTTTGGAAGTGTGTGGATCCACTCGTCCATGCGGATAGCTCAAATCCCCATTCCTTCAGACACACGTCCGAAACAGAGACCCCACAGCACCACTCTGTGCTTCAAGCTGCTCCCACACCGCTGCGTTTACAGAGCCTGGCAGGCGAAAAGCGAGACCTCCACACTGAAAGATCGTTTGATCTGGGGGTAAAACTCCCTCCCCCGGTACCGCCGGGCCGATTTGGAGAGCGCCTGGGGTTGGTTTACACACAGAAACACTCTCGGCCAGGGCAGCCTGTGAGGTGAGGACCAGACCCGGCATGAAGCAAACCCTGGGGGCAGTCACTGGGTACATGGCAGTTAGTGGCAGTTGGGTACATGGCAGTTAGTGGCAGTTAGTGGCAGTTACCGGGGTACATGGCCACCACCGCCCCTCGCCTGGCGCCGCCCCTGCTGAGGAAGACGCCGGTGCCGGCGGCGGGCAGGGAGCTGTGGCGGCGGGCGAGGCCGAAGCCCAGCGCCTGGAACAGGACCTCCTGGGGGCCGCGGGCAGCCTCCTCGCAGCGCCCCGGCTCCGGCTCCCCGTATTTTCTCCCGATCTCCGGACGCGCGGCCAGGACGGGCGCCTGCCTGCCCAGGTCGCTGGCGAACAGCGCCGCGAACGCCCTCAGCAGCGTTTCTAAAACGGCTTCATCGGTGATAATCTTGTCCTGGGAGCTCTCGGGGACGTACCGCAGGGTCCTGGAGAGGAAGAGGAGCGTTTGAGCAGGACGGCGGTGTGTTAACCCCCTACCCCCGCCCCGCCCCGCCCCGCCCCGCCCCGCTCCGCTCCGCCGCCGCCTCACCTGCGCTGGCGGCGGAGGTTGAGGGCGAGCCAGGGCACGAAGCGGTACCGGTAGGCGGCCCAGCGCCGCCGCAGCCCGCGCAGCATGGCGCCGCGCAGCCCCGCGACATGGCCGCCGCCGTGCGTCGCAGCCAATCGGCGCCCGGGCAGCGCGCCGCTATTTGCATACCGAGATGCTATTGGTGGTTTCGGGGCCGGGGGAGCGGAGGGGGAAGGGATGGAGGGGGGAGGTGGCCGCGGCATGGCGGCGGGGTGTGTGGGGGACGGTGTCGGCACCCGCCCGGGCAGCGTTCAGCGAGGCCGTGCTCGCTATGCCCGTCCTTTTAAAGGGCAAAAGTCCGTGGGTGGTGTCTCCGAAGGCTTGGGATGTATAAATATAACCGCTTCTCCTTGCTCACGGCTTGGGGGTGAAGTAGGAGGTGCAAAGACGTGTGAAAGCCAAGCGGCGTGTGTGGAAAGCACAGCCCCGTGGGCTGCCCCGACAGCCTTGTGCTATGCATGAGTGTGGTCCCCAAGCTCTTTGGTGCCTCACAAAGCACGCAGAATGTCCCCCAAAGCACTATAAAGTTACTCCCCTGTACCTGGGGGAGCTCCCAGCTGCTCACATCTCTCAGATGCTCTCTCACAGCAGCTTACCTGTCCCGCTGGAGCGCTGCCTCCCCTCTCCCCTTCGGTACCTCCTTTCATAAAACTTGCCCTGTGGGATGCTGCTCCCGACCTCCCATTTTAGTCAAAGTCTGACAATGGAGTCAAAGGTTACTGGAAAGATGTGACAGAATATCACAGAATCGTAGAATATCCCAACTTGGAAGGGACCCATAAGGATCATCAAGTCCAACTCCTGACACCGCACAGGTCTACCCAAAAGTTCAGACCATGTGACTAAGTGCACAGTCCAATCGCTTTTTGAATTCAGACAGGCTTGGTGCAGTGACTACGTCCCTGGGGAGCCTGTTCCAGTGTGCAACCACCCTCTCGGTGAAGAACCCCTTCCCAATGTCCATCCTAAACTTCCCCTGCCTCAGCTTAACACCATTCCCAAGGGTCCTATCACTGGTGTTTACAGAGAACAGGTCACCTGCCTCTCCACTCCCCCTCGTGAGGAAGCTGTAGACTGCGATGAGGTCTACAGCCTCCTCTTCTCCACGCTGAACAGGCCCAGTGCCCTCAGCTGCTCCTCAGATGTCTTTCCCTCTAGGCTCCAGCATCTCGTCGCCCAGTCTGTACGTATAGTAAGGGTTGTCCCATCCCAGGTGCAAGACCCGGCACTTGCTTTTGTTAAACTTCATGTGGTTGGTGATTGCCCAGCTCTTCAATCTGTCCAGGTCTCTCTGCAAGGCCTTTCCACCCTCAACAGAGTCCACAACTCCTCCAAGTTTGGTGTTGTCAGCAAATTTGCTCAAAACACCTTCTAGTTCTACATCCAAATCATTTATATAAACATTGAAGAGGACTGGCCCTAAAATGGAGCCTTGAGGGACCCCACTAGTGACCATCCGCCAGCCTGATGTGGCCCCATTTACCACAACCCTTTGAGCCCTGCCCGTTAGCCAATTGCTCACCCATGGTATGATGTTTTTGTAAAGTTGTATGCTGGACATTTTGTCCAGTAGGATCCTACGGGAAACTGTGTCAAAAGCCTTGCTGAAATCCAAAAAGATCACATCAGCTGTTTTCTCTTCATCAACTAGACGGGTGATCTTGTCATAAAAGGAAGTAAAATTTGTTAGGCAGGACCTACACCTCATGAACCCATGTTGGCTGGGATCACTGATAGCACTGTCCCCCAGGGCTTTAATAACTTCAAGAATCATCTTCTCCATAATTTTACGATGCACTGACATGAGACTGACAGACCTGTATTTGCTAGGGTCTTCTTTCTTACCCTTCTTGAAAATTGGCACAACATTTGCCAGTTTCTAGTCTACTAAGACCTCTCCAGATTCCAAAGATCATTGAAAAATAATGGAGAGAGGTCCTGTGATGACATCAGCCAGCTCTCTAAGCACCCTGGGATGAATCCCATCCAGACCCATGGACTTGCGTGGATCCAGGTTTGAACAGCAAACCCCTCACACGTTCAGGGTTGGTTGGGAGTTTGTCATTCCCACTGTCATGGTCCTCCAGATCAGGGCACGCGGGGTCCCAAAGGCCATCTTCAGCGTTGAAGACAGAGGCAAAGAAGGCATTAAACATCTCTGCTTTGCCCATGTGCTTGTCTGTGAGGTGACCTTCCTCATCAATAGCGGACCTATGTTTTCTCTGGTCCTCCATTTTCTATTGACAAACTAAACAAACAACCAAACAAGCAAACTTCTTATTGTCTCCCTCAGAGCTGGCCAGCTTCAACTCTAATTGGGCTTTGGGCACACGAATTTTCTCCCTGTAAAAGTGAACGGTGTCCCTGTATTCCTTCCCCGTTGCCTGATGCTGCTTTTAGCAGCCATACACTTTCTTTTTATGCCTAAACGCCAGAAGAAGATCCCTGGTCAGCCAAGCCAGCCTTCTGCCCTGCCCGCTTGACTTCTGATATTCTGGAATTGCCTGATCCTGTGCTGTTAGGAGGCAGCGCTTAAAGACTGACCAGCACTGGTGGACACCAATGTTTTCAAAAGCAGTTTCCCAGGGAACCTTGCTGACTAGTTCCTGAGCAGCCTGAAGTCTGCTCTCCCCATATTCAGGGCTGAAGATTTGGTGGCAATTGAACTCTTGTCAACAAAAACTTTAAACTCAACCACTTCATGATCACTATGACCAAGACGGTCGCCAATTGCTATGTCTTCCTCCCTCTGTTCTCCAGCAACAGATGGAGGAGGGCAGAAGCATTTGCTGATGTTCATACAGAATGTGTTGTGTTCCAGTTGTGACCACTGGCTCTCCTTCTGTCAGTGGGCACCACTGAAAAGGGCCGGGCTCTGTCCTCTTTGCGCCCTCCACTGAGATATTTGTAGACCTTGATGAGATCCCCTGAGCCTTCTGCTCTTCTGGCTGGACAGTGCCAGCTCTCTCAGCCTTTCCTCAGAGGAGATATGCTCCAGTTCTTGCATCCCCTTTGCGGCCTTTTCTTAGAATGACGTATGTTGGAAAAGACTCTGAGGATCATCAAGTCCAAGCATTAACTTAACACTGCCAAGTCGCCCGCAAAACCTTGTCGCTAAGCACCACCTCGTACATGTTGCAAGTACTTCCAGGGATGGTGACTCCACCACTTTGCTGGGCAGCTCATTGCAATGCCTAAGCAGCCCGTCTGTCAAGAAATTCTTCCTGATACTGAATGTAAACCTCCCCTGGAGAATCTTGAAGCTGTCGCCTCAAATCCTCTCACTTGTCACCTAAGGGTCACCCACCTTGCTACCACTCCCTTTCAGGT